ACTACCACCCCACCCTAAAAGGAAAAAAGGAAGGAAGGGAGGGACAGCAGGAGAGAAATCAATTTTTAACTAACCTGAAGACTCCATCTTAAACAGAAAGACTAAGATTCTCATTGAGATTTTTCCAAAGCAAAAATCCCAATACAGCCCAGTGTCAAAACCATGAATAAAAGAAGGGTTTATTTTCTTCCATGCCAGCAACAATCGTAAGATGCTGAATATAATTACCAGTGGCTATATGCTTGGAGGAAGTATTTGTGGCTGATCTAATCTGAAGCATCTCTAGTTCTCTCTGTCATTAGCAAGTATTGGCTCAGGGTATCTATCCTTTGCCTCAGATTGCAAAGCAGCCACAGAAAGAGGCAGGAAGGACAGGGACATGAGCTGGGAAAGATTCTAGAATCATAATTAGAGTAACAGATAAAAGAAAGAAAGGAACAAGACTAGCGAGAATTAAGGGTCACTGAGATAGTTCAGCATATAAAAGTGTTTGCCACAAAAGCCTGACGATGACTTTGATTCCCAGATCCCACAGTGGAAGGAGATAAAGAAGAGCACTGCTTCCATCTCCCACCCTCCCCTCTCTTGTGGTTTTTCAAGACAGGGCTTCTCTGTGTAAGCCTGGCTGTCCTGGAACTCACTCTGTAGACCAGCCTGGCCTGGAACTCACAGAGATCCACCTGTCTCTGCCTCCTAAGTGCTGAGATTAAAGGCATGTGCCACCATCACCCTGTTCCTTCTTTCTTTCTTAAAGAACCTTTTTAGTTGTTTTTTGAGACAAGGTCTCTATGTAGTCTTGGCTGTCCTAGAACGTGGTACATATACCAGGATGGCCTTGAACTCAAAGAGATCTGCCTGCCTCTGCATCCCAAGCACTGGGATTAAAGGTGTGTGCCAACAAGTAAGTCCCAGACCCTCTCTTTCTTTCTAATAATAATTTTTTAATTAAAAAATAAAGACTAACTAGAATAGAACTGTCATAAACACACATATTATTTCTTTTGAAGAACTTAGCACTTTTTTTGGGTTTTTTGTAAGAGCCACCTGCCCTCTTATCTAAAGGGAAGGTAAAAATTAAAATAAGAGTTTTGCTATGCTTATATGATATCTACATTCAAGTAAGTGGTCTGGGCTCCAACACAGGCAGACAATAATGTCAATGGGCAGACACACCTTTACCCTGCTTGTGAACCTTTTTATGCAAAGACTGCTGGCTGAGGGCTTCAGAAGAGACCTGCTGACAGCAGGTTTCTGGATGTCCTGTTTGTACATTTTGATAAACACTGGGATCCTGCCATTTCAATCCTTACCACAGACAGAGATGAATGGCAGGAGAAAATGCTTGCCTAGGGAGATGGTCACCAATCCAGACTACAAAAGAATAGAAAATTTAACCTGACCAACTTCCAAGGGCATCCTCCCTCAAGATAAATCTGAAAGGTGTTCTTCCACAATAACTAACTGCATGAAAGGGCCCAAATATGATTGTACATCACTGTAAAAGGACTTTATAGCTGAAGACAATAAATATACTGATTCCTGTTCTCTAATCTTAGACATCTCTCATATGGTAATATCCTCAGTCAGAGAACATCAGATAAGATTGAGTTATTAATCCTATTGTTTGGTCATTATAAAGATTACACAAAAATTTAAAATCTATTATCTACATGTAAAAAACATATGTTAACAATTTACATTTGTACATAAAGTATGGCTACTTCAGCAATTGGTACATATACAGATACAGATACAGATATAGATAAAGATATGAAGTTGCCACTTTGGCATACATACTATAAACACTGATACCTTTTATTCAATTGATGATGAAAGAGAACCAAAGAAAACATGATCTGGTTTTCTGGGAACTTTTTGCACCTGGGCAAAAACTGTTCAAGAACAATAAAATGGATCTATGACTTAGAAAAAGGGAGAGTGGAGAAGCCTATGTAAAGCCTCACAGGCATGACTGTGATGTGCTGAGAAGATATGGAAACACAATAGAAGAGTGCCTCTTAATGGTGGTGTCCTGTTAGGCAGATTCCAGATCACATAAACCTTACCTGCTCCTCTGTATTAAAATAACTATAGTAGCCGGGCAGTGGTGGTGCACGCCTTTAATCCCAGCACTCGGGAGGCAGAGCCAGGCGGATCTCTGTGAGTTCGAGGCCAGCCTGGGCTACCAAGTGAGTTCCAGGAGAGGCGCAAAGCTACATAGAGAAACCCTGTCTTGAAAAACCAAAAAAAATAAAATAACTATAAATTATGACTATATAATCCCCCTACACACACACACACACACACACACACACACACACACACACACACACACCTTTTCTAAGGGCTGGAGAGATAGCCCAGAAGTTAAGAGCACTTGTTGCTCTTCCAGAAGACTAAGGTTCAGTTCTAAGCACCTACATGGCAGTTTACAACTGTCTGTAACTCCAGTTCCAGGAGATCTGACAGCCTTGTCTGGTCTCTTCGGGCACCAGACACACAGTGGTGTACAGACATAAATGCAGGCAAAACACCCATACACATAAGATAAAATTAATTAACCTTTCTAGTTATCAAAGCTAAGGAATAGGATTATGGCACATAAATTAGAACAGGCTACTACATTCCTAATCTCACTTTCTCCTCTTCCGGGCACTAGAGATTAAAAGGAGCAACTACAACCAGCACTCAGCTTACAGGACCAGGAGGAAGAGAGAGGAGCTAGAAAAAGAAACAAACGGCAAGTCAGTATCAACCTCTCTCACTACAAAACCTGGGCTACTCTAATATTAAGGTAACTGATCCTTAGCTGCTACAAGACCAAGATTATGGTTTGCACCAGAACTACCTTCCTCCAAAAGTCAAACATCTGGGGAAAGACTTATGAGTGGGGCATTAGGGAAATCAGCCCAAGGCTAATAAAGACAACTAGGAAAAAAACACTGTTAGCTGATGAAGAAAGGTAAAGACGACAATGTAAAACGAGGTCATGCTGAAGCCCAGGGAGATGATTAGAGCACAGGTGGGCTGGGGGAGCACACACAGAAGGCAGTCTGACAGAGGAAAATCGAGGGGGAAGGAAGGGGAGAGAGAGGAGGTGGCACCAGAAGAAAGGGAAGGTAAAATGAGAACAGAACATTTTAAACTAACCCAGAACTCCATTGTGAAGGACAAGTCACGAGGCAGAGTACAGCTGAAAAGACATGATCCCTACATCACACCACTAGTTAACAGATACTTTAGACTTCTAAGCATGTATGGAAAGAGGCTAGGCAAGCCAGAATCCTGACTCCCAGAGCACAAGTCACCCAGGTTTTTCACAGCACTGCAAACACAGTATATGTGTTTCTCTCTCTCTCCTCTCTCCTCCTCCTCCACATACATACACAGTGGTGTGTGTGTGTGTGTGTGTGTGTGTGTGTGTGTGTGTGTGTGTGTGTGTGTGTGTATGTTTACAGTACTGGGGAATCCAACACAAGACCTCACATGTTAAGCAGGTGAATTATATCCAAAGCCCATTGGCATGTCTGTTTAAACTGCTACCCTAAATGGACCCTGGTGCCAGAAAAACTATTACAACTCCAGGAAAACGTATGTCATTATAGGCATCTGTCTGGCTCCTTTCACTGTTATTATGCAGTCATCTTACCCAGGAGGACAGACAGAGAAAAGGGCAGGCAGGGGGTCAGAGAGGTACTAGGCCCTTCTTCAGTGACTGTTGACATAGGACCACCACACACCTTTCAGGCTACCCTTGCATTTATCGAACATTTAAATCTTTTTCAGACCATTCTATGTTCTTCCTTTTGTTCCCCAGGATTCAAATGTTTGTGTGTTCACCAAAAGCATCAGGAAGGCAAGCCAGAACAATGGTTGTTCCACTTTATCTTAGTTCTTTCTGGCGAAGAGATCAAACATACCCTACAGTTCTATTACAAGATAGCTTCTGGGGATCTAACCATGTAGCTGACAAGAGGGAGATGGTTAGGGAGAGGTAAGAGCTCATAAGATCCCAGATCTACTAAGGCATGTCAAGAAGGGCAGAAGAGACTGTCATATTCCAATAATGGCATCAGAAAAAGGAGAGGAATATGCTTCTTTTCCTTTTGCATGTTAAAGAATGGCAGAATACAAAAAATCAAAACAAAAGCCAAATGTCTAATTTGATACAAGCCAGAAAAACTCAAGTTTCAGGCTGGCAGCACAACAAATGGTTAGAAGGTCAGGAATAGAATGTCTGAGAGGCAAAATTCAGCAGTAGGGTTGGAAAGCATGGACTCTGGAGCTTGGGGCCGATCTTGCTCCTCTGGCCTCATCCCCATCCCATTCCACAACAATAGCAACAACAAAGAAAAGAAAGAAAAAAAGGAGGAAGAGGCAGTGGCCTCAACTGCAGCTGTGGTTGCCATGGGAGAGGGGGTGGCAGCAGCATAAAGCAGCTACTCCTCAACCCATTACAGTAATCTGACAGGTGACAGTCAAAGGGTTATTGGTGGGGCCTGGAATAGGAAAAAAAGTTGAGGCAAGAGAGTTAGACCTCAAGGAATTAGTTTATTCAGGTTACTGAGACAGAAGATTCGCTTTAAAGAAATCAGATATTTAAAATGAGACTTAATCTTCACATCTATTGCAGTTAAGGGAATAAGTCTCCAACTTCCTTCTATCCTGTGAAGACAGCCCAAGAGAAGCATTTCCATCATACATGCCACAAGGAGATACAAACGTGGCCAGGAGAGCAGCAGTCCTCCTTTCCCACTCAGGCCTGGGGCTCAATGGGCTGTCTTTTCCCCAAGGCTCTGATGGTTCAGCAAGGCAACTGCCAGAAACAGGAGCGCTCTGGGCATTTGAGCCCTCCGCTCCTTATCTCTGCTTGCTACTCATAAATAATAACTTAGGAGTTGCAAGCAAGAATGCTTACCACTGCTACAAAAGCAGTGGCCAACTTGGAAGCACTCTCAGACGGGAGGAAGAGGAAAGAAGCAAACTGAGAATATACTTACTCAAAGTCCTCAAATTCCAAGTCGGCTCCCTCTACTGACGGACCCTGGTTGTCTGAGGAAGAGGAGGAGGAGGAAGAACGAAGGCGATTCTGTTGGTAGCGCATGGAGCGCTGGCGAATACTGTCTCTCCGTGAGAGATACTGGATCATCCTCTGGGCGTAGTATGCAGCAGGAGATAATCTGAGAGAGACAGAGATGGACAAACACAAACTAGCACTAATTGGGGGAATACTGTGAAAGACAGCAAAGCCAGCTCTCCCATGGCATCTCCCTGCTGAGACAAACTCCGGATACATGAAAAATACAGGCCATTTAACTCACCAGGAGGTTTGTGCTGCAGAACATGTGTACCAGACTACCCCCAAAGCTTCTGTTCTGAGATAAGGCAAATAGGCAGTGTAATCAGTTCTCTTCTGATCAAGTGTGACCCCTTCCCAAGAGGCTTAGCACTGGGCCCTTCTTCTCTCTTAAGTTTTATGAACCTGGCTTAGCTTTTCAGGGTGTCCTTAAATAGCTCTTCGTTGCTCCTCATCCATACACAAAATTTAAGAAATGAAAGAGACCTTAGTAATCAAGTCTGGTCATTTTACAGATGAGAAAACAGGTCAGAAGATGATAACAATTAGATGATTAATAAAGACCCCCACGGGTATCCTCTTTACCAGGACTTCCTTCTTCAAACACACACAGCTCTACCTTTCACCTAGCTCCTTACAATCATCTTTTAAACTGGTATCTCCCTTCCTCACAGATTAATCATAGGTATTTGTGCACAGAAAAGTATTCAGGACAGGGATTGAGAGTCATCGTGTACTTGGTAGAACAGAAAAACCTAGAAGAAAAAAGAATTTCCCATTCCTAGAATTACAGCAGTGGAGGCTACATCTCCCTTGCTAGATTCTAATTGAATCCAAGGACTTGTCTTAAAGCTCTCTAACAATTTCTAATATATCACACAATTTTCTACACATTCCTTCCTCTTCTTAAAGTTTTCCTCCATCTTTACAATACTGTTCTATAATTTGAGGTTACAAACTGAGAACATGATAGAACAACAGAAAAGTGTCTTATATGATAATGTTAAGTGATTTCTAAGCCATCTATCTGCAAGACTTAAAATCTGAGGAACACACAATGATGCAAGTCCACTAGGAAATTATACCCCACAGAAATATAAAATACAAATGTATACATGAGAAAGGTCGTTTGCAATACTGCTATCATTCGGGCAAACCTGGGAAACAACCCAGAAGCCCAGAAACAGATTAAATAAATTATATCCATACAGAGGAACACTGTGAGGCCATTAAAAAGAATAAATTGGCTGGGTACAGTCACATATGCCTACAATCTCAGGATGAGGAAGCTAGAGGCCGATGGATCAGGAGTTCAAGGTCAATCTCAGCTACACGAGTTTGAGGCTAGCCTGAGCTATGAGACTCTGTCTCAAAAGTTAAAAGTGTGTGTGTGTGTGTGTGTGTGTTTAACAATTATCTCCATCTACTCATAAGGAAACTCTTCTAAAATAAAATTTTAAGGTAGAAAAAGGGTTATAGAAAGAGTGTGTGTGTGTGTGTGTACAGTATATACTTCTGTATTTAAGGGGAAAAAAGCCATAAACCACAAACCTGGGAGTTTTTATTTTTTTTATGAAGTTAGGATATTAAAATGAGAAAAGTGTGTTCTGGGTTTTTTTTTTTTCTGAGAATGTTAAGAAACTGATTTGAGAATAGCTGTAGCTAAATGATAGAAAATATTTATTGCTGGAACTATGGCTGGGATTGTAAATTGGAGGCCAGTTGGGCAATTTATATTAGTAGGAGAGTCACTCCCACAAAACTGCAAACATCTTGCAGCCTGACTTTCAGCACCTTTGATACTCTATTCTCAGGAATTCTACCTTCCTAAGCCAAAAGAGGTCTTGACGTCAACTTCAATGGGACCTAAGGCTGTCATCAAGGCTGTCCCCAGGCCAGTTAGCAAATGGAATTCCTAAGGAATTGGCTGGTAACCACTGGAACTAAAAAACTAAAAAGTTTCTGGTTTAAAATAATATGCTACATTGAGCATGCTGAATCCAAATTACCTTTGTACAGTAGGTGGGCATGGGATACACAGAAGCAGAAGCTAGACCAAAATAATCAGAAAACATCAACTATTCCCCAAAGCCTCAACTCATGGTATTTTCATTACTCATTTGGGTACCTGTTGTCAAGCATTCAATCACTGAACTCTAAAATTTGGACAGAAGTCAGTGCTTTTGTGCTGTTCTTATTACTACCTAATATATCAACATCTTCCAGCAGAAATCAAACATGGATTAAATTCAAAGGAATCAGACCAGAGAAGAAAATATATAACAGGAAAGAATTTTCAAGAGAACTGACCTAGAAGAGACCATAAGTGACCATAAGTGCACCCATTTCTCAGATCACAGACAACCAGAAATAATAGAAAAAGATGTATTGCTATTAATAATGGTGGTAGAAATAATGTTGCTGGTGATAATGAATAAAGACTACCCTTTTGTGAAGGGATATAAGTATAGCATTGCATAACTCAAGTTGTTGAATTTTACTACAGGAATTTCAAAAACTATGAAACTACGTTATCAGTGGTTACAAATAAAGGAGGAGGAGGAGGAAGAGGAGGAGGAGAGACTTCTGACATCATAGATTTGCCCCTCTTATGCATCTAGGGGGAAACTAGGTTTCTGCATGCTTAAGGCAATGTCCCTTAAAAGCCTTGACCTATCCATATAATACAGGATACAACTAAGAGGGAAAAAGAAATGAAGGAACATGTGAAGAGATGGTAACAAATACCCTCCTACTGAAAACACCCACAAAGAATTCCAGCCTCACTTCTTGACCCTTCACCAGTAAAGAAATTAGAGGAGGAATAAAGAGATTGTATGAAAGGATGACACCTGTAATCTCTGCATTCTGAGGCAGAGGTAGGAAGATCACAAGTTTGAGGTCAGCCTTCACTGGCTGTACAGTGAGCCGGGGTCAGTAAAGGCTGTACATTCAGCCCTGCCGAAAAAAATGATCACTGAATTTCCCCAGTCTAAAATTTCTGAAGATAAGATTCCTACTGCTGTCTGAAAAGAAACTTTTTCCCCCTTTTCTTTTTTTGAGAAATACACACAGTTTCTTTATGTAGTCCTGGCTGTCCTGAAACTCTCTATATAGACCAGGCTGACCTCAAACTCACAAAGATCCACCTGCCTCTGCTTCCCAATTGCTGGATTAAAGGAGTGCGCTGCCATGGCCAGCCTGAAAAGAAACTAGCAAGAAGTGGTTTTGAGTGTTTTAAGGTTCTTGAAAATGTGAAACTTTTCTTTCCCTTTTCAAGGATTTAAACGGTTTCCAACATAACCACAGACTAATGTAAATGTCCTTGCTTCAATCACCAATATGAACTGCTTACCTATTTTTAAAGTCCTCATCTCTACTGCCTGGATCCTTGGACTTGCTACTTCTAGGATACAGAAAACAAAGTAAGAGGGCCACGGAAAGTTTTTCCCCCACTAGTATCTCGGGGAGAATGTGCACTACAAAGAGAAAACTGTGGCAACAACAAAATCACTTAATACCCCTGGAGTCAACTTGGTCTAAAGGTGTTTCCAGGTAGACAGGAAAGCCTTAAAACTTACTTAGTTTTATCTGACCTTTACTGCTGGCTTGTAAAGCCCACCACTGTAAATTATCCTTTTCCTTACAATATTTCCTGATATTATTTAAATAATAGTCAAGTTAGCCTTTTTCAGATCTCTAACAGTCATCAAATCCAGCTATGACAACCACATGAGGCTGCTCTCTACTGATAAATGTAATACAACAACTCAATACTCCAGCACCATCATCAGCACTAGGGAATTCAGGATGGTCCCTTAAGCTCATATGAAACAATGTCTTTTTCTATCAACTTTTAAACAATTCGGGACTATGGAAAGAAATATTTGTTTGGGTGGATAAGGGAGCTTGCTGTAAAAGCAAAAGGACCTGAGTTCAACTCTCTAATACCCATGTAAAAGGTGGGCATGGCCCAGGTACCTATGACCCAAGCATTTTGGGGTAGAGACAGGTAGATCCCAGGAATGCCTAGATATAATGCCAAGCTTCTAGTTCACTAAGAGATACTGTCTCAAAATAATAACAATAATAATAATGTGAAGAACAATAGAGAACTCAGAAGTCTTCCTCTGGCCTCTCCATGTACCCACACCACAAACACACGTGCATATAACACACACATACACGAAGTCTTCTATAATCTTTCAAATGTCTTCTAAAACAGTATAAAACAAGCACATCCGTAAAATGACAATTTATTTCATTCAATTATTCTTCATCTCTTCTTTTGGATAGTGTTCAAAAAATGGCTTGACTTTTTTCCCCTTTTGATAGTATAAATTAAAGTATTTTCCCTATAAATAAAATGTTCAAAACTTTGGTTATCTTTGTGGCTGATGGGCAACAGCCTCTTGAGCAGCTGGAAAGAATATCTATGGAATCCACAGGTACTCCCTTTAGTGCCCTACTGACAGATGGTGAGTCCCAAAGGACGAGAGCTCAATTATAATCCTCTGTCACAAGTGATGCTGTTCACTTACCTGCAACAATTCCCAATCACCTGAAACACCTGCCTTAACACTGTAACTGAAGAGTAAAAGAGCACCAGGACCAGAGAGGCACCCCCAAGGGCCGCCCCTCCCCCCTCCTAGTGCCATTTCTCACTTTGGCCTTACCTCGCTGGGTCTGGGTAAATTGGGTGCTCTCTGGATCCTGCTCCATCATAACGGGATAATGAAATGAGGGAAGACTCCAGCAGCCTCCTAGCAGAGATTAAAAAAATGGCAATAATCCCTGTCAATTACCAACTCAGAGGTCAATCAAGGGAAATGGGGGAGAGGTAAATATCATCCCCCTTTGCAGCCAGCTAGCACCTATTATCTGGGGTCTTACCCTTCCAACAATCTAACTATATGGAAACATTAATAAACGAAGAGCTACAGAGCTCCCATACTGGATGTGACCACGGTGTTACGCTGAATACTGCTCTTTGGTGAGACACACGCAAATGCATCAGAAACATGATCTTCTATCTCTTTACAGCACCTCCAGCAGACAAACAGGAGGCTAGAAGCAACGTGAGAGGAAAATGAGGCATACACAGAGATCACACATTTATCCTGGTGATCAGCTCCTGTACACCATCAGTCCACATGCCCTCATCTTCCACTCCTTATGCTATACCATAAGGACTCGCTTAATAACTGGCAAAAACCTTTCCTTCTATCATCCAGCCCCATCATAAATTCAACTGATGATAGTAACACACATTTTATTAGGCAGTTTTTTTGGGTAACAGACCTAAGCATACCCACAAGATGTTAAGAAATACTACATACACAAGAACACTAGGACTAGAGATTTACGTATATAGGCCCATTGACACACAACCATTAAGGATTCCCATGAAGACCTATCTAAATTCCCAAATGCTTTGAATCTCCATGTTGCACTGCACTATACAACCTTCCAGAGGAGAGGTGGAAACAAGTGCCTACTGCATGTAATCATGGTGAGCAATGGCTACTAGCAAACAGGAAGATTAGGATCCTATCACTCAGCTACAGCCAATTATTACCAAGCTACAAGCTGGACTCAGTATTGCTACCTTGTCTAATTGTTGTAAAACCAGAAATCTGGACTTTTGCATGAAATTTTATGGTAAGGTTTTAGTGAACTTCCCCCTTTGAATACAACAAAGGCTATTTAAATAAGACATACCCGATGACAGGTGTGGTTCAGGGGCTTCCTGGTCTACCATACTACTTCCCAACTCATACATGCTTGGCAGCCAGTCACATTCCTAGCAGAGAACACATCTCAAAGGAAGTGGTCTCGGAAAAAAAGTGCACATTGTTCCTCTCCAGCAGCATCTTGCCTGGCTCTCCCAGGAACAGGTCTCAGGCTCCCTGCCAGATTCTTCCTTAAACAGATCTGCAGGATAAGAACAGCAGCTACCCTTCTTTTCCAATTGAGTTAAGACAATTCAGTGTTATTAAAACCAGCTGGCTTTAGGTATAGTCATGGGCAGTCACTATCCCAGCAACTGGCCCATGACGACATTTCAAGTCACAGCCAAGGCAGAAACAACTGTCGCCCCATAACCTGAGCTTTACCCTTCCTACCTGGGACAACCAACCATTACAGGATGTTTTCAACCTGATACAAGGCCTGCATGACCCCACTTCAAACAACCCCCACACCCAAATGGAAAAAATACCACATACCCAATGAAGAAGAAAGTAATAAAATACATTTCTCTGGCAATATCATTGTTTGCAACAGCAGAAATGTTGTGGGTTTTTGTTGTTGATGTTGTTGGTGGTGGTGGTGGTGGTGGTTTTGGTTTTTAGAGACAGGGTTTCTCAGTGTAGCTTTGGTGCCTGTCCTGGAACTCACTCTGTAGCCCAGGCTGGCCTCAAACTCACAGAGATCCACCTGGCTCTGCCTCCTAAGTGCTGAGATTAAAGGCGTGCGCCACCACTGCCCAGCAACAGCAGAAATGTTACAGTTCATTATTCTAAAACATACTTTACACTTTAGTGTGTCATAAATTGGGATATATCTTATATAATGTGACACAGATTAATTGGCATATTTCTTTTTTTCCCTACCATCACAAAAAATAATAATAATAATGTCTACGTCTTTTAAATACAAAATGTTTGTGGTAGTTGGAGAAAGTGTGAAGTATTAATACATAGACTACACAATAAAGGAAAGTCAGTCTGTGAGAAGCCTGTTGTATAGGTAATTTATTTCCTCTTTTTAAAATCTTATTTCTTAACTGACACATAAAAACATAAAACTGTACAGATTAGCAGGGTACTATGCAGTATCTCAATGCATATACACACTGTGTCATGTTTAAATCAGGTGAAACATGTTTTTCCTCAAATATTTTATCATTTACATTGAAAACTGTCAAAACTCTTTTCCAGTTTTTAAAAATATACAGTATATCATTTGTTAGTATAATCATCTACCTCTCCAACAGCACGTTTTTTATTTTTGTTGTTGAAACAGGGTCTGTAGTAGTTCATGCTGGTCTAGAATGAGAGATTTCGCCAAAATGCTGGGATTACAACATGTTTCACAGCAAAACCTTCCTGTTCTGAACTCTAACTTATAATCCACTGATCAACCTATGTCATCTATACAATACTAATAAAATCATTCTCTGAGACCAGGGTAAGAACTAAAGAATGAAATCAAGGTCTAGCAGCAACTATCTGCCTTCAAACCCTGGAAGATTGTTCAATGCAATACTAAAATGCTCCGCATGTGGTGCTGAGTACCCCTGAGCTGGCCTCTCTAAATAGCCATTTAGTAAGGCAGACACCCTTTGGTGAGGACAGCCTTCAGAGTGACCTGCTTCATAGCTTCTGTGTAGAAAATAAACCTGGTAAGTTAGGAAACAAACACTGTCCACTACAAACTATGTCATGGTAGTGACAGACCTCAGAGAGAGACGAAAGGCTTATCAGGGATGCTAAAAGAAGATTCCTGAACTGGAACAGTCTGGATTAGATGACCTCAATTTTAGTGACTCCATTTGATATCTTGCATATTCCAGCTCCCACCCTAACTTTCTATTTTAATCAGGAAGCCTTCTTGAAATCAGAATAGCATCAAAATCTTAAGCTTTGTCTCTGGGGAGTCCTTGATGGGGGTTCTCTTGGAACATACATTCCTTATGCCTACTCACTCCAAAATCCTTGTGCACCAACAGTTCCTCAGACAATGCAATGGGACTGGACAACCAATGTTTATACGTGTGTGTGTGTGTGTGTGTGTGTGTGTGTGTGTGTGTGTGTGTGTGTGTGTGAGAGAGAGAGAGAGAGAGAGAGAGAGAGAGAGAGACAGAGAGAGAGAGACAGAGAGACAGAGAGAGAGACAGAGACAGAGAGAGAGAGAGAGAGAGAGAGACAGACAGACAGACAGACAGACAGACAGAGAGTTTAACTGCTAATACATGAACTCAAGAGAGCCAATCCAGATGAACAATGTTTCTCCACATACACAAATCACTGATGAAACAAATTCTCTGCAAGGAATAAAAATAGGCCTCTCCAGTTGATGTGGAATAAAGAATGAACTGGAGTTAGGAGAGAAATAGAAACCATCACTACCATGCTTAGGATCCTCAAAGCATTTTCCCTCCTAGTACCAACTGTTTGTAGGGAGATGGAATGGAAAATGGTATGAGTAAATGGACTTGGGTAGCAGCTGTGCACCTTCTGCTCTGGCACACAAATCTGACTTGACTTAATGATCTATCATGCAATTTGATAATGTGAAATCAGGAAGAGCTGAAGGAAGGTCCAGCCAAATTTGTTGAGACTTGAAGTTGCCATTTCTTTCTGACCTATAATCTCAGTTTAGAAATATTTTTAGAGAGCCACCAAAACAGACAGAAACAAACAAACCAAACCTCTTTTCTCTAACAGCTTGTCCACTTAATTCTTTATACCAGTAGCATCTGGGTGAAGTTCAAGGGCTGTGTTACTTTGACTCACTGAAGACCAGGAAGAAAATACTACAATTTATCCTTTATGTGTAGCCATGTTTGTCAGGTACATAAGGACTATTTAAAAGCCTTTCACCATTAACAGCATATTTTTAAAAGCCCAAGGCCACTATCAAATTAATTTGGAATTATTCAGTATTTTAAAAAACTTACTAATCACAAATATAAAAATATAACAACCATAATCAATCAAAAAGAATAATCATATTCACATATAGATAGAGCAAAAGAGGCTGACAAAACGGATGTGGCAAAATGCAAATATTTAGGAAATGTGGGTAAAGGGCATTTGAGACTTCTTTGTACAATTTTTGCAATTTTTCTGCAAATTGAAAATATTTTAAAATAAAATAAAAGCCAGGCATGGTTGCTGGCACCTGTGATGGCCCACCATTGCAATCGAGGCTGAGGCAAGAAGACTGCGATGAGCAGCCTGCGTGTGAGACCCTATCAAACAAGTAAACTAAATTAAAAGCTAGACATAGTGGTTCAGACCTCTGGTCCCAGCACTTAGGAGGTCCGGCAGGAGGATTGCTGTTGAATTCAAGGCTAGCCTGGGCTTCAGAGTGAGACCCTTTCTCCAAAAAAAACAAACAAACAACAACAACAAAACCAACAAAAACCAAAGCCAGGCAAGGTGGTGTATGCCTTTAATCCCAGCACTCAGGAGGCAGAGGCAGGAGGATCTATGTATGTTTGAAGCCATCCTGATCTACATAGCTAGCTCCAGGACAGCCAGAACTACAGCCAGAATTTGAGAGAGGCAGTGTCTCAAAAAACCAAAACAGGCCGGGCGCGGTGGCACACACCTTTAATCCCAACAAAGGCAGGTGGATCTCTGAGTTTGAGGCCAGTCTGGTCTACAGAGCGAGTTCCAGGACAGGCCCCAAAGCTACACAGAGAAACTCTGTCTCAAAAAACCAAAAGAAAAAAAGAAAAAAGAAACCCAAACTCCCGAAACAAACAGAAAACTCAACAAAATAAAAGCATAGTGGTGCACACTTAATAATTTCAGCATTTGGAAGGTGAAGTTAGAAGGATCAGGGCAACAAGACCCATCGTGGCTATATAATGAGTTCAAGACCAACATGGGCTACAGGAAACTGTCTGAAAAGGAAAACAACAAGTTAAAATACCCACGATTCAAGGGTCTGAGGATGTAGCACAGACAAGCTGGCTAGGAGTAAAGGCACTTGGCATCAAGCCTGGCGACCTTAGTTCAATCCCTAGGAC